AACCCAACGGCCCTCTTTAGGGCCACACCTGTATAAGTCGAATGTTACAGTTCCTAGTTCGTGAATAAATGTTTTTTTTAGCTTGTGTAGCAGGAGCTTTCGTATGTGTGGTGTGGGCTTCTGGTGTCTTTACAGTTTTTTTGAGTGAGGTTCAGTTTTTTGTTTGGATAAGGTACCTGTCTCAGTAGGGAGGGGTTTTTTTGGTATCTGTTTGTGCTGTGGCCCGGTGAGAAGGCGTTGTGAGTCTGACGATTAGAAGCGGGTTCGAGCCTGCTAGACTGCGGTCAAGTTTCGGCTGCGGAGCTGAGGAAATTTGTGCTGCAGCATGATTCAGTGCTGTCAGGAGTCACGAAGGTAACATTGAGCAAGGAAGAAGCACGCAAGGGACATATCTGCAGCGATTATGGTGTGGTGTGCTGGATTATCTTTATCAATGCACCAAATCTACACGAAACGTAGAAAAACAATTTACAGGTAAAATGGTATTCAGCCCAGCTGATGCATACAGTGTGCACTGGCAAAATGGAACTTTTAATCGGGTTTCCAAGCTAATATGAGCTAATATGCAGGGGTGAAACAGTTTCTGTCCCACCGGTCAACTTGGCACCGAAAGTTACAAGAATGGACACCAGCCAATATACATTCTTGCCAAATTCAATTCATCTGTAGCTAGTTGGATTAATTTATCGATTTGTCCTTCAACACTCATAGGGAAGCTGCCAAGCGTGTTTTTATACACCTTCGGTGAGACTATGTTGCCTAAAAATGAAAAGGAGAAAAGAAAAACATGCTTGTCAGTGTTTTTGAGAACTATCAGAGTTGAAAAACCTTTCAGTCGTGATCGTATCATTTCAACGACTTCTCGAGCTTGCTGTTGAGCTGAAGCGTCAACGGGAAGTTTACCCCCTTGAGCGCCACGCTGAAAATTTGAAGTAGAAACATCCTACTTTTTTTTTTTTTGTGACTACGGCTTTTCAGTGGTAGTTCTTAACTCTCCATATGAACCGATGAAGTGCACACCTGTTTTATCTGCTGAGCCCGAGTTTCCGCATGCATCCATTCCAGCAGAGGATCATGCACAAAAGTTTGCAAAACAGTGTAAAGTACTTCCTCCTTCTCCCTAAGCACCCGCATTGCAGTTTCACACGATTTCCTAAATGCTCCTTCTACTCCAGTCACTCCAAACCCGTTAACTATATTTCGAGTCAGTCGAAAAGGGACCACCTGGAAAGCAAGAGTTTCTGTATGCAGTGCAATTCTAATCTACAGGCCTTTCACGTAATGAGCAAAATATAAGAGAAATACGCAGTCTATTAGGAATACTGCTGGCACAAGTTCATTTATTAGGAAACAGGACGATTATTACCAAAAATATAGGAAACCAAGACAACGATTGTAACACGTACCTCAGGCACTGCAAGGAACTCTCCTTTATTAAACAGCAGATTGAAGTCCACATGAAAAGAGTCGCCACTCTTAATATCAATAAGCAAATTTTCGCCGTGTCTATCACCTAATCCAAGGACAAACCCGACTACCGACATAACGGCCGATGTATGGATGAAAGCGAGTCGCGCGGCGTACCATTTGCAAGGTTCTGGGAAAATGCGCCTAAATCAAAAAAAGTAAAGGAATGTTGAGCCCGGTATCAAAGATTAAATGTTCCTAAAATCGTTGGCTGACTCACATAAACCATTCCGACATTACGACAGGGTGTCTTGGATAGTATTCGCTTTGCATCCGTTCAAGCTTTTGCTCATCCGTCCCGTTTGGAATCCATCTTGAAAACCATTCTTCGTTGGTCATGACATTCATACATTTCTCTTTCATTAATGGCTCCAGAATACTTCTGTATGTTTGTAAATGCGGAACCCACTCAATTAGGCCACCAGCATCCTAGTAAAGAACCAGTTATATAATTTCCTGTTCTACAGAGAAGACTGCTTCAAATGACGCGAACAAAATAAATAAATCAGAATGGATCACTTTCACCTATACCTCGCTATACTTATACTTACCTGCAGAGGTACCACGTTATAGGTCCGCACAAATAATTGCCTTCTCCTTGCATCACCGTTCTGATGCAGTAAAGCATTTACCATCTGAAAGATTTTCCTACTTACTGTTAAGGCTAAGGTACTATGAGCATTATTTTTCAATAAAGGCCCACTTATATTAGCATCTTACTCTATTAATATCCATTAGTCTGCCATCCTTCCGCAGTTCATCTTTTGCCTTACACATTAATAAATACCGGTTACCGTCAGACGCAATTATTGTTACCCTCTTTGGACGCACCATTGATCGCATGACATGAAAGTATCAAAGTAACGTACTATTTCTTAAGGTAACGCTATGTATCAGAAAATTAATTTTGCTAACTGTGAATTCTTCTTCAAAATCTTCGATGTATATATTACTGAACACAGACTCCTCATATTCTGGCTCATATGCATATGACTGATTCACTGGGAACTGAGACAACGAATTGGGAACTGCAACAGGATTGCCATGCTCAATCATCTCACGTATTGGCACAACTACTCGAGGGCGAAGTCCATTACACAGCTGTTCAGATACTAGAAGAATTTACCATTAAACTGGTATATTATTAGTCACTAGACCTTAACTAGTGTGACGTCACACACAGAAATAAAAACTGATGAAAGGTATCAGACTCGGAAGCTAATAAATCGCAAGTCTGACGAATTAACGACGTCCTGATTAGTGCACTAACCTTTGACGGTCATGTCAATTTCACCAGCTCTGAAAAAATTTGAAAGAAAAGCGTATCTTCGACTAAAGGACGAATGTGTTCCAGAAGGAGAATTATCTTCAGCAACCCTGCAAAAATAAACTTAATTATCAAAAACAAATACCACTGAAATTACTACCTAAGACTCAGTAAGAGAAAGACAGCGAAATATACGGTCCAAACAAGTGTTCATGGATCATCAAATCGCAACACTCAAGATCTCCAGAAGTGCATCACCTTTGTGATGCCAATTTCTAGACTAATTTGCCTAACATTA